CTGGAATAAATTTTGTACCTTCATAACTTGTTATAGCTACTGTGCCTTTTCCTTTGACTTCCAAGTGTTCACCATTGCCAATCCTCACTCTCTTGACTTTAGTGTCTCTTAATTCCTGAAAAAACTCCTTGTCATATGTCATATGATTTGTGCACCCACTGTCAATCAACCAACTCTCGCTTGATTCTTTGCCTGAGAAACAAGTGGCCACAAGCAATTGATCTTCTTCTTCTTCTTCTTGATCAACTACCTCTGCATCTACTTCTTTCACCAGATCTTTGGCTTTGCAGATCACAGCTTCATGTCCAAGTTGATTGCATTTGGAGTAGAAGGCGTCAGGTCTTCTCCAACACTTGTATGGCGGATGACCTTTCTTCTCACAATGGCGGCAAGGTGGATAGGATTTTTTTAAACCTCCTCCTTTTGTCTTTTGATAGTTGGCAGATGAATCTCCATACGTCAATTGATTTTTGAAATTTTTATTGTTTTTATACCTGCGGCTGTCTTGATGCTTAACAAGTAAGGCACCTTCAATCACCCCTTCTTGTCTCATAGACCTCCTTTGCTCTTGCGCTTGTAAAGCATTTAAGAGCTCTGTAAGAGAAATCTTTAACAAGTTTTTGGTGTTCTCCAGAGTAGTAATGGTGGCTTCAAACTTCTCTGGAAGAGTGACCAGCAGCTTTTCAACGATCCTGGAATCATTTAATACAGAACCAAGCAATCTCACCTTATTGGCGATGCTGAGAAGTCTGTCAGAGTACTCTTTTACCGACTCTGACTCCTTCATCTTCTGCAACTCGAAATCCCTGATCAAATTCAGGACTTTCATTCCACGAATCCTCTCATCTCCTTCATATTCGGACTTGAGATAATCCCAGATTTCTTTTGCTGTTTTAAGGGACATTATTCGCATGAAGATCATTTCAGATACAGCGGCAAATAGGCAAGCTTTTGCCTTTGATTTCCTTGTCTTCTTTTCCTTCTGTAATTTGATTTGTGCTACAGTAGGATTTGCTGGAAGCGGAGGGACTTCGTAATCCTCTTCTATTGCTTCCCAAAGATCCAAGGCCTCCAAATAAGTCTCCATACGAATTGCCCACATTTGATAATTGTCTCCATTGAAAACTGGTGGTGCAACAGCGGAAAAACTGGATTCTCCTCCCATTTTGATCTCACAGATCCCTTAAGAAGATAGCTCTGATACCAATTGTTAGTGAAAGAGGGATTTATTGAATGGTAGATGAGATGATTGAATTATGAAGAGCAAGAATGCTCCATATTTATATAGAGAATACAAAAAAATATTCAGAAAATCTACCTAAAAATCTGCAGAAAATCTGGTAACAAACCAGTAAACAAATCAAAAATAAAATCTAATCAAATCAAAACTAAATCAAATAAAAAACAAATCGACTCCTAACCATCAGAAGATTTAAATCAAATACAGCAATCTAAACACGTAATCTTTTAACAAATGGAAAAAGAAACCAACCAAGTTTTTGGAGGTTATGATCTTGGATGGTTGTTTAATGATGCAAGTCTTGTTGGAGGATTGCATGACATTTGTCTTAATATGTTCGATATTTTTCATATTCAGCATGCTATATGAGGATGAATTCTATATTGCATCGTGTCTATAGACCGACATAGGACACAACCCTAAGAGCATGAAAATGATATTAATATAAATATCAAACGAGCATGGGTTACTTAATGTAACAAAGAGATGAGACTAGAGGGTTGTGTCATAAGAGATATAAGATGGAATTTAGAGGGACCTCATGCATATTTTATTTTTATAAGCACGTGGATATTTCCCCAGAGATATGAATGTGGACGCGGACAGTATGATGATGAGGGTGTTCATGGGGAGCAATACACCAAGGGGTTTCACTGACCACCGGACGTCGCAACAAATTAGCTTGACCAGAGAGGGTCCAGGGGGTGTGCGAGCCCCCAAGTGATTCACACTCGCACGTGTGGGTAGTGTGTAGGAAAGTACTACACATCCATATTAGTTCGAGACTAAAGGTCACCCCTAGAGAATAGAGATAGGTCCCAAGAGCATAATTACAAGTGTTTGCATTTGCATGACCCCTATAGTGGGGCCATTTACTGAGTATACTTAGAAATACTAAAGTCGTGTGCCACATCATTTTTCTAGTAAAGGTAAGGCGCACATGTATGGAGGATGGCGGCATCGCAAGCAGAGACTTGTGCCATGTGGTAGACTCATAATTAAATTCCTACTCTTATGTTAGAATAGGTATTTGTTTTTATTTTCTCTTAATTTTAGTATTTAGTATTTAAACAATAAACCAAGACTGTGTTTTGGAGAGATATAAGATGTTTTAAATGTTTTCCACATTTAAATTATAGGTGATGTTTTCTTTTAAGGGTTAAATTCCGCATACGGGAGATTAGAAGTCACCTTACAAATAAAAGGCTCAAAAATAGAAGAACAAAAAATGAATCCTCTTCGACCTCACTACTCTATGGAATTCTAAGTCTCCTTAAATTTCAAAAAGTTTGAAAATAATCTTCCCTTGGTAAAAAGTTTAAACTTTTAAACTACCCATAAACTTTTAAAAAGTTTACCTATGGAAATCTACTCTACTGGTTTTTCAACAATAACTCTTACTGTATTTAAAAAATATTCATAAACTTTTAAAGTAACATCAACGTCACATACCTTTATAAAAAAAGTTAAAAAAAATTTTTTACCATTAACGATATCTCATTTGATTATCTCCAAATTTCTTAACGTTACTTTGAAAGTTCATAAGTATTTTTATAAGAGTATTTTTAAAGTTTTTTTAAAAGTTTAAATGAGTTTTTGAAGTTTATAAAACAGAATAAAACGAAATTTTTTAAAAACATTTTTTAAAATTATTTTGAAAGTTTAATGATATTTTTTCATCTAAAATTAAATTTTTTTTTTCATATTTTAAAATTTTAAAATACTTCATTTGTATTTTCATTAATTTTATTGAATGAGAATAATTAAATTGAGCAAGCAAAAAAAAAAGAGAAATGCCCGAATTTGAATGAGAATAATTAAATTGGGTAAGCAAAAGAAAGAGATCATAAATGTCAAAATTTGAATAAGAATAATTAAAAGGAAAAGAGAAAGGAAAAGAGAAATGTGGAAATTTGAATGAGAATAATTAAATTGAGTTAGCAAAGGAAAAGAGAAAGGCGGGAATTTGAATGAGACAATTCTAGGGTGTCAAGCAAAGTAAACTAAAAGGTTGTTATAAATATTAATCAAATATGGTAGATAGGTTAAACCATAGTTTAGTACTAAATATCCTTAACAAAAGGGTAGATCATAAGAGTAATGGAGTTGTCATCATCGCGGAATAAGGATACGGTGGTGGTGGAGCTGTCACCACTACAGAATGCAGTGGTCGAGATTACCGAAAATCTAAAAGTCCAATTGGAAGATCTTCCAGATTATCGTAAAAGAAAAATTAATGGAGCTTCAATCTATAGAATACCAGAGCACATAAAGAAGGTTAATCCAAACGCATTCAAACCGCAGCATGTATCGTTCGGGCCATACCACCATGGGGAACCGCATTTGTTGCCCATGGAGAAGAAGAAACGTTTAGCAGTTCAAGACTTTGAAAGGCGCTGCGGATTGTCCACTGAAGACATGGTGACTGAGCTGTGGGACATGTTGGAAGATTTGCAGACATCGTATGATAAACTTGATGATAAATGGAAAACAAAACCAGCCAAATTTTTGGAGCTCATGATGTTGGATGGTTGTTTCATGGTGCTTGTCTTGGAAGAGATAACTGAAATGAAACCTTTCCCCCCTAGGGATACATTGCGAGATATGTTGGTGCTTGAGAATCAGTTGCCCATCAAGCTTCTTGACAAGCTGTATTCCATGTTAAAGCAAGAGAATAACCAATTAGGTCTATTTCTACTTAATTCAAGTCCACTTCTAATTGATATTGTCTTTTTTAAGCTTTCCTTTTTGAACTTCTCAGTTAGGGAGAGGTTTTCGGTTAGAGAGGTGAACAAAGTATTCTTTATAAGGATGTAGAAACCTCTTCCTAGCAGACATGTTTTATAAACCTTGAGGGCAAACCCGAAAGGAAAAGCCTAAAGAAGACAATAACTGATAGCGACGCACTTAGGCCATTACACTAATAAGGGTTTGAAAATCTCTCCCTATTAGACATGTTTTAAAAATCTTGAAGGAAAGTCCAAATAGGATAATATCTGCGAAAGGTAGTACTATCTTATTTCGTATCTTATCGCTTCTGACAAATATAATTATGTTTTATCATATGTTATGTTTGATCATTTGAAACATGCCTTGTGATGCATGCACAGACAATTAAATCGCTTGTTTGGGGGACGTTGAACTTTCCCACTCCCACTGGCGTAAAGGAAATGTTAATGGAGGAAGACTACTTGCATGTTCTACATATGTATAGGAAGGAAGTGATGTTTTACAATGAACAGAACCGACTTCGACAAAGCCACTTGGGAATGGGTCATGAGATTCAGCTAGCCAGACGCTTCCATAAAGCTGGGATCAAACTCAAGAAAGGGTGTAACTTTATGGACGTGGGTTTTGATGAAAAAAAAGGTGGGTTGACTCTCCCGTTCATCGAAATGAATGCTAACGTTGAATCAGGCTTATTGAATGTGATGGCATTTGAGAAGCTTTCTGGGATTGCGAACATAGTAGGCTCTTTCGTCATCTTGATGGGTAATCTACCGGAGAAAGATGAGGTAGATTCCTTCAATCAACTGGCCAAAGGCACGGTTTTAGAATTGTGGGGCCGCTTCTTTAATGTCTACGATTCGGTGAATAAGCATTCTAAGAGGCCATGGAAAATATGGTGGACGACTCTCAAAGATGCCAACTTTCAAAGTCCGTGGACTATTATCTCTACTTTTTCTGCTTTAATCGGTTTTTCGCTCCTTATTATCCAAACCGTATACGGAGTATATGGCTACTATCTCCCACGTCGATCTTGAGCCAACACCACTCATATGCTTTGGTTTCAATCAACTTTTAGTTATTTTCTTTTTCTTATTTTTATTATTTGCGTGTTTGTTTGTCGATATCCTATCTCTGAGATTATCATCACGATCTCAAGCTTAAAAAATTTATCTTCTAAGCTCCAAAGTTGTTTCCAAGACTTTCCAATTCATCGTCTTTCTTGTACGTACATACGAAATCTTCCAAAATTGCATTCCAAAACAAGATATACGTGTATGCTCACATTAATGGACACACGGAGTGAAAAATCCGCATAATATTATGATGAACATAAATATTGTAAGGAAAGCGTCCGTATTAATCATAACAAAAAGTATCCTGATACACATGACATATATAAATGCATAAAAATCATAACATCAGTTTACGATGTAAGTCAAAACTCCATTCATTCATAACACGACGAGCTCATGAAGTATGTATACGTAATTCTTGTCATAACTTTCATACTTAACATAATTTACATGACATGATGTACGGTGTATGGTGGTTTATACACCATAAATTATCAATATCATAAACGTTATTCCAGAACATGACACAATCACATTACACATAACTTATAACATGACATAGCATAACATAGCAATACAATCTTGATCACGACATGTGTAGAAGGAACGAGACAACGTCATCATATATCATAAAATCGTCCAACCAAGCCACTTACCAAGATATTTTAAGCCGTAATTAGCTTAGATTTGCTATTCTCAGTCCAATTCAACCAATGTGGGCACAAATTATCAGGTTAGGAAATATTACAAAGCTTCATACAATCGTCGAACCAAGTCAGTTGTAAAGCCACTTACCTCGGTATTTTAAGCCGTAATTAGCTTAGATTTGCTATTCCCGGTCCGATTCAACTTATTTGGGCACAAACTATCAGGTTAGGAAATATTACAGAGCTTAATTCACTTAAAAGGCATAAATTAATCCATGAACCTGCGGGTTCCTTCTTTCTTACCCGACTCACTACGACTTTTGGTGCCTTGCCTTTCTCTCTCCTATTTTTGGTTCAGCCTCTTCTCATTCCGTTAGGAATCATGACTCTCCACAATGGTATGATATTATCAACTTTGAGTACAAGCTCTCATGGCTTTGCTTTAGGCTTCCCTAAAAGGCCTTATAACAAAGGAGAAGCAATGTGGGACTCCCTCTCAACAACCCCCCCCCCCCCCCC